AGGGGAGTTTCCATTCGGGAGCATGTTAACAACTTCACGAAGCTAATTTCGGATATGGCCAATGTAGATATCATGGTTGAGGATGAAGACAAGGCGATGCTACTATTGTGTTCGTTGCCGGAGGATGATTTTGAAACGTTTGTTCTCACTATGATAAATGGAAGAACTACGGTTAGCTACAAGGAGGTGACCTCAGCTTTGGTGAATTATGAGTTGAGGAAGAGTGATGGCGAACCCTCCGAGAAGGCATCGGGAGATGCATTAGCAGTTCGAGGCCGTGGTCCAAACCGTCGTCCAGGTGATCGCTCAAGATCGAAGTCAAGAGGTGGCCATAGAAATATTGGTAGGAATCAATGTCGCTTTTGCAAAGAAGAAGGACATTGGAAGAAAAGAACATCATTTCACTAGGAGCTTTGGTGGCATCTGGCTATAAAGTGACCTTGATGGATGAACATTTGAAGGTCACATTAGGGTCCATGATTGTGATGAAGGGCGTCAGAAGGAGCAATTTGTATTATTTACTTGGAAGCATGGCGATTGATAGGGAGATAACGTGGCGTTGTTTGATGCTGGGTTATTTGATTGGTAATACCGTGCATAGGTTATTGAGGAGTGCTTTGACCTGCAGTTTGAAGTCCTGTGAACCCATTGGTATGAGCAAGAAGACCGAGGTGGAGTTTGGCACTTCTATCCATCATTCGAGGGGTCTTCTGAGGGGTGTTCATTCAGGCATACGGGGGCCTTCCAAGGGAGCATCATTGGGAGGTAATAGGTATGTGGTTTCCACAGTTGGGGATTGCTCTAGGCATTGGTGGGTTGCAACCAAGTCCCGTTGGTGTGAAGTCCTAGAAGCCCGTAACAAATTGAGGAAGTGTATTGGCAGAAAGGTGAAGGTACTTCAGTCTGATGTTAGAGGGAGGTACAAGAGGGACCTATATCTGCATTTGTGCCGAGCTCACGGTAATAGGAGACACTTCATTGGTGTGGAAACTTTAAGGCGACGAGATGAGATGGCAGATTTGGGGAGCTGTTCCTTTCTGGAGGAGGATCGGCGTTTGATGTCGAGCATTGGCATTGGTGTGCAGGCTACGATATGTTTGAGCCATCTTATGTATAGGTTACCGACTGCTGCATGTATAGATATGAGATCTGATGGAGCTGCTTCAGATTTTGGGTTGCGTCGGATGTTTGGCTACCCAGCACTTGGTCACATCGTGGATGTGAGATTTGATCCGATTGCACGTTTGAGATTCGGAGGCTCGCTTGATTATCGTTTGGGAGCTTCTGACTTTGTTCTGAGCAGATATGTCATGTTTGACTCTCAGCAGGTGGAGAGTGGTGATCAGATCATTAGGATATCACAGCAGGTGGAGAGTGATGCTACTTCACGTTGGGTGGAAATTATTCCACATACTCCAGATCATACTGCGTCATTTGGGATTCCAACTGAGGTGACACAGGTTGTGGATCATTTGATTTCGGATGCAGATGATGGATTGTTTTTGGATTCGGTTGCAGCTGGTGGACTCGATCTGGATACAGCCATTGGTTCATCTCAGGTGGAGGTGTTTGGATTGTTTCAGTTTGGGGCCATTGGAGGTGCTATCAGCCGTAGACTTGATCGTGATGTTGGAGAAGGGTTGCGAACTCTTCTAGTGGATTGAGGCCTTTGGAGGCCATTTAGGTGAACTACGTTCGACTTGATTCCTTGGGCAAGAGGATACGTAGGCAGTCATGTTTGATGCAGCCGGTTTGGATTAGTTGATGGGGTTGAGATTATTTGGACTCTCGTTTCGGTTCTTGACTTGTTGTGAATTGAGTTCGTACTGGACACAACAAGTGGGACATTTGATTGTTTTGGTGTCGGCTCAGTTTTGAGAAAACTTCACCGAGGTGGAGAATTGTGAACGCAAGTGGTGGGTCACAAACGAATTGTTTCCGCGTGAACACGTGATGAAGAGTACGGACTCGTGAAAGAAGCGGAGCAAAGGCAAAGTGCTGGCCCACCCGAATAAGCTATAGCCTATATATATAGCTTTTTAATTTGTGCCCTAGGGGTGCAAGGAGCCTTTTGTGAACTTGGTGGCTGCGGGAAAGTTGCGGCTACAGGTGCGAAGTGTGGGGAAAAAAAAAACAGGAGCAAAGGACGGCTGATTTTGAGCACAGGCAGAGGTGCATGGTTTTGGCTGCGGCTGTTTTTTTGTGTGCAAAAGAACAGAGATTTTGGCCGCTATTTTTGCAGCTGTTCTTTGATTTTTTGTATCCCCTTTGAGAGAGTATTTGTGTGAGGGATCTGAGAGTTTGAGAGGGTTTAGATTGAGTGATTGTAAACCCTAGTTGTATCTCTCCCTCTAATAGTAGATCTCCCCCCTCCTTGCCCCGTGGACGTAGGCTATTTGCCGAACCATGTAAAAGTTGTGTTCTTGTCGTGATTTGTAATAGCTTGTAGGATCCCTCGACAGGTCAGTCCTAGAACTGATGAGAGGAAGAGCCGATATCTCACTTGGTTGAGATATCCGTTTCAGATTCTTGTTTCCTTGGTGAGACGGGAATTCTTATCGATCTAATCTCTCTTGTTGTGCTGCCGAAGTGCTGCCGAAATTTCCGCTGCGCACAACACCTCCTTCACTCTGTGCTTGTTGCTCACTACATACTCTCTGCGTCCGATCCTGAGGCGATTTATAGCCTCAAGATAGCCTACATTATTTGACTTTTGTGTCGACCTTTTGATTTTATTGTACCACCTTTTGGGTTTTCATGCACCGGCTCTTTGCCTAACCATTGCCCACAAATGTTGATTTTGTGTGTCTTCTAAAAAAGTAGTAGGACCTACTCCAAAAGTGGCGGGACCAACATCTTAGGTATATGTATACCTATTTTACCCTTGAAACTTCTGATGTTATGCTTATTGGATTAATTACATGTGGTATGCATGAATCAAATCGTCAAAAGTTCACTGAATGCCTATGTCGCATGGGCACAGGTTATGCATACGAGTTTTGGTACGAGAACGGGTATGAGGCACGACAAATTTGTGAAAGATAAGGTACATGGACATAGCTATATAAATATTTATATAAACATATATTATATATTGAAATTTATAGCTTACATGAGTTTAATATTTTTTTTATTCATGAAATTTCTATATTTCTTTTACAATGTGGATTATAAATTATAAAAACACTTCTTTTTTGAACGAGACACCCAAATGACTATTAAAATCATAGTTTGGAGCCCAACAAGTTTCAAGAAGTGGATGTGAAGGGTATAAGTTTACGTCCAGGAAATGTTCGACCAGTGTGCTGAATTATAACATGTATTGTTTAATTGAGTACATGCCCAAATAAACGTGTGCATATGTACAAGGAGTGTCCAATGAGTACTTCAGGTACGGGTACGGATTGAGATATGACTTCAATATAGAAGAACCCAGGTTGTCCTGGTCCGTTTTGCCAGTCAACTCTACATGATTTATGAACATTAATTTCGATGCAATTTTCTGTTTTTGTTTGATGTATCAAAAGTAAGTCCTGTTTCTGGTGTACCTGAAAAGAATCCCTATTCCCTGCAGGTTGTATCCAATTTTCTTCGTCCTCCGTCGTCCCCAGCCGTAACCCTTGAGAAATCTATAACAGGTACAAAGGGTGCAAGAGAATCAAAGCCAGCATCTCGGGGCCTGTCAATGTGTTCTCTAATGTATCTTTCTGCAACGCAGTTCGAATTCCTCCTCACGATTTCTTGAACACTTTCCGCAGGTAAAGATTTCCCCCATCGCCGCTCCTGGTGTTACCTTAGCTTGTGCACGTATACGGTGGTGCATAAAAGATGGTTATATGAATGTTCTCATTTCTGATATAATACCTAGTAGATGTCTATTGTTTGAGGCTTATTCTCACTTTCTCACTACGATACGCCAAAGTTTTGAACTCATTTCCCTTTGATATCAGCCTGTCCAGGTTACATTAGATTTTTTGTTAAATTTATATCAGGTACCATTGGGAACATTTACTTGTTTGAATCCCTAGTATATCTAGATAAAATGAACATAGATGTAACGTAAATTTAATATAAAATCTAACAAAATCTGGACGGGGTATTAATGTGCTTTTAAAGAATAATAGCCACGGTGACAATGATACGATTGGAATATCAAAGCTTATCCTATATCCATCTTTGCAAAGAGACCCTCCAGCCTTATTCTTTCTTTCATGTTACAATATTTGCAAACTTGTGATGTACTTAGTTTTCAAGCTTGTTTGCGTCTAAATAAGCAAACATTCTGTGCTTGTTGTTTACTTATTATGCAAATTTCATGGGAACATGACACCCCAAAAACTGTCATATATTTGAGCGCCTACAATGTAAGGCGAAATCAATGTTGCAGCAATTGGGTGGCTTTTGGCTACTTATAACAATTTTTCATCATAAAATCCAAACTTGGAATATGAGGAAAAGGGAATAATGATCTTGCTCCCTATCATAATAACTGTCTCGCTAATAACTCCTTGTTGCTTCGCCTGTTGAAAATTTTCTTGGTAGAAATTGATGAATATGCAAACGTAGTAGTCAACCAATTATTTAATTTGTTTCAAAAAGAAAAAGATTTTTTTTTGTCATTATTTGAAGCAAATTCCATATAGAGTAATATTTTTATAATTATAGAAGCTAGATATCATAAAACGCTCTTAACGTTGGATGATTATCTGAAAACATCCTTTGACTTCCAAAATATCAGAAAATCTCCCCTTTAATATAGGGAATATCACAAAATTCCCACTAAGCATAGGGATTAATCACAAAACCTCCTAAAATTAGGGGGATTTTCTAATAAAATCTGAAAGTTAAAGGGGGATTTATGATAATCCCTATACTTTGGGGGGTTTATTTTGAAATTTAAGGGGAGTTTTCCGGTACAAGTCTATGATCTTTTCCCCTCTCCATTTTACTTTTCTTTCATGGTTTGAGATTCCATACGGGTCGGGTAACACTAAATGTGAGCGTACCCGATAACTATGAAGGCTAAATAGAAGGAAATTGAATCCAAAAGCCTGGAAAAAAGTTGTGAAATTGGCTCGCTCAGCACAAATTTTCGCTTTTTCAACATCAAATTAGCTTCTTTTTACCCAGATTGTCGCCCAAAAATCTCTCATTTTATCTCATAAGATGAGTTACGCGAGCTAAAACCTGAAGAAAGAGAGGGGTAAGAAGAAATTGTTACTAGTTACCAAAGCTGCGCGCCAACTGTTCGATAAAATCCCCAATAGACGCCATTCCTCTACTCGCTCGCTTCAAGTTGGCGCCTGCCGCCAATATCGCTCGCAAGAGCACTCAACTCTTCAAACCCATCGGCGCTTATGCAATGTGCAACGAAATAAAGCGGAGCTTTGTGTCGAATGCCGGCCTGCTGAGGGACTCATCCGATGAGGACGAGAATAGGATTTCTAGCCTTAAACCTGTGAAAGATCTGGGCGGTGATGGAGATATTACCTCAAGGTTCTCAAATGCAGTAGCAAATTTATTTAGATTACATCAGGGTTGCCACGATGAGGCGAAAGTATCCACGGTGTTGCCTGAGGAGAAGAAGATTACTTCAGATGAGGAAGTGGATTCCTTCGGAGAAACCCATTTGTCGGTTAAGGAAATTGATGCAGAGCGCAATCGTTGGCGACCTCCATCTGCTTATAACAAAATGATGAAGGCCTTAACTGTAGCCGGCAAGGTTAACGAAGTAGTCAGATTGTTGCAAGAGATGAAACAATCCGATTGTAAGCCTAATGTTCTATGTTACAACACGGTAATGAATGCTTTTGTGAAGGCTAACCGCCCGAGAGAAGCTAGAGTGGTCTTTAAAGAAATTATCACATCGGGCATTTCGCCCAATGTGTCGTCATACAACATTCTTGTTAAGATGTATTGCAGGTCGAGGCAGTTGGATTTGGCTTATAAGGTGATTGAGAGTATGATGAAATGTGGCTATAAGCCTGATTCAACCACTTACTCAATATTGATCATGGGTATTTGTCAAGTGGGAAGAGTCGATGAGGCATGGAATATTTTCGAATATATGGTGAAAAACAATTGTTCTCCTACTGCGCATACTTATACTCCCATTGTACATAGTTATTGCTTGGAGGGAAAAATTCAAGATGCAAAGATTGTGTTGGATATTATGGAGGATAGTGGGTGCCCTCCTAGTTTTGTGACCTACAATGTATTGATCGATGGACTTTGCAAAGTCGGAGACTTTGATGCAGTCAAGGAGATTATAAAGGAAAGTGAATTAAAGGAGTGGAAGCCTAATTCGACTACTTATACTGTATATATGAATGGTCTTTGTAAAGGGGGAAAGCTGAAGGAAGCAATTGATGTTTTAGAGACTATGAGGGCGAAAGGATTGGAGCCAACCGATGTCTCTCTAGGTATCTATATTGATTGTCTTTGCTGTGATTCGAGGATTTGGGAGGCTAAATGTGTGTTAGATGAGAGCACTGAGCTAAAGTTGTGTGTTGGTGTAATAAGCTATAACACTTTAATGGCCAGACTTTCAGAGATTGGTCGTTGGCTGGAGGTTCTTAATCTTTTCACTAACATGTTGAAGAAGGGTATAGCACCGAACACCAGGACTTTCAATATTGTGATTAATAGCCTTGGTAAGGGTGGGAAGCTTCTGAAAGCAAAATTTATGTTTAACAGTAGAAGGTTTGTTGCGAATAATGTTACCTACAACACTTTGATCCATTGGTGTTTACAAAATGGTGAGATTGATGAAGCTCAGCTTTTGTTTTCGAGGATGAATGTGGAGAAAATTGATCCTGATATCATCACCTGCACTATTATGGTTGTCGGTCTTTGTAAAGCAAAAAAGTTTTCAGAAGCTACCAATTGTTTCCTCGGATCTCTTCCGGGAAATTTCGAAAAAGATTTGGTGAATGGTCTAATAAAAAAGCTGCATGAGGGGAGAAGATTTAAGGAGATAAGATATCTGTATGAAGAAATGAGAATTCTTTTAATCGAAAGATTTCGTAGAAGTCATGAGTCGATTTTTCTTGAAGAAATATATGAGGAAATACAAAATGTTTGCATTGATCTAGGCAAGATGCTCGGAAAGCAGTAACATGTTAATTACTTCAGTATAGGCGAAACTCTTTCTTATTATCCCCAGGAGGAGACTGAAATTGTGGCAGGTAAATTCTATTTACCTATTATTATCTGCGCATATGTAATGTAGACAGTGCATTTAAAATTAATGGTTAACGTATTTTGAAATGGTTGCATATGTGTAACTGTTATTTCTTTATTCACATTGTATAATTTGCAAAGTTTCATTACTTATGAATATCTCATGTGATGTGATGCATCAGAATGAACAATGTTGCATTTGGTAACCTTAACTAACTCTGTATTTAAATCGAATTCTGTTTTTTGATATGGTAAAGATGAATGCTTGTGAGTTGTGATCACATCAGAGAACTACAGATGGAGCTTCCATTCACAACTTTTAACAGTTTCATTTTGGTAACATTAATGCTTAAATTGAATTTCTCTTTCAGGATTCTTGGAATCTTGGACTGAATTAGGCAAAGGTTAAATTCAATATTAATGATCAGTCGTGATTATGGATTCTGCTTGCTTCTATATGTAAGTTGCCTTTTCACATAGGAGTTTCTACAGTTAAATTCTTACTTGTTAGCATTGTGATAGGATTCTTTACTCTTTAGCATGTCTTAGGTATCTATATACCGATCTTATTCTTGCCACTTTTGATATTATGATTATCGGATTAGTTATATCTGACACGCATAAATCATATCATCAAACATTCGCTGAGTATCTACCCAGGTTGTCCTGATCATTTTGGCTGTCAACTCTAGCTTTTTTGTGAAAAATAAATTTGATTTTCCCCCTTTTTTTCTGTTTGATTTATCAAAGTCAGTATAGTTTCTGGCATACCTTAAAGAACTATTATCTGTGTAAAAGTGTCTTCCGATGCACAAAAAAAAAGGTATTGTTACATCTTTAGCAGTGTGTTTATTGTGTTACTTACCTTTGACATGTAAGAACTCCTAAAGTTAAATGCATATTAAGCGTATAACAGATTCACCTAGCATTCCATGTTTGTATTTAAATCGAATTCTTTAGCATATCTTAAGTATCTATATAACTATTTTTTCTTGAAACTTTTGATGTTATGCTTATTGCATTAGCTGTATCTGGCCTGCATGAATCAAATAACCAAAAATTCACTGAGAAGTTACCCTGGTTGTCCTGCTCATTTAGGCAGTCCACTGGACATGATTTATGGAAATTAATTTTGATACAATTTTCTGTTTTCGTTTGATGTATCAAAAGTAAGTCCAGTTTCTAGCATACTTGAAAGAATCCCCAATCCTTGCAGGCTAAATCCAGTTTTCTTTGTTCTCCAGCATCCCCGGCTGAAAGCTGTGAGAAATGTTTAACAGGTATATTGTGTGAAGGAGAATCAAAGCCAGCATCTCAGGGCTTGTCAGTGCGTTCTGTAATGTATCTTTCTGGAACGCAATTCGAATTCCTCCTCATGATTTCTACAACACTTTCTACAGGTAAAAATTTTCCCCATTCCTGCCCCTGATCCTTTTTCAAGTTATCACTAGAACCATTTAGTTCCATTTTACTTGGTCTGAGATGTTTCCTTTGCTTATGCCTATATATATTGGTGCGTAAAAGATGATTATATGAATGTTCTCACCTCTGCTATAATACTACTAGATATTTATTGTTTAAGGCATACTTCACTTTGGTGCGCGCCAAAGTTAGCCATTTTTTTCACTTTGATACCCCAAAATTTCATACTCAATTCCCTTTGATATCTCATCTAGATTTCATTACATTTTTTTTGTTAAATTTATATCAGGTACCATTCGGATCATTTGCTTGTTTAAGTCACTAGCATTTAGATAAACTGAAGATAGATGTAATATAAAGTTAACATGAAATCTAACAAAATCTGGACAGGGATATTAATGTGTTAAAACATACTTTGGTTGTATCAAAATGAAAATATGGAAAACTTTAGGATAAGTGAAAATAAGCCATTGTATGATAGTCGTGTATATCATATTCGATACGAATTGTTTTTTATACCAACACATTTCTCTTGTATCCTAGGACATAGAGGCATTTGTTTGTTTTTCACAAAACTAGCTAGTTTGTAGTGAATAATAGTCACAGTGACAATGATACAATTTGGATATCAAAGCTATCCTATATCCACCTTTGCAAAGATACCCTCCAGTCTTATTCTTTCTTTCATGGTTAATATTGCCAAACTTGTGCTGTACTTAGTTTTCATGTTTGTTTGTGTCTAATAAGCAACATTTTCTACTTGTTGATTACTTATACAATCTGATGGTAGCGTGACACCCAAAAACTATCATATATATGAGCTCCAACAATGAATGGTGAAATCTATGTTGCAGCAATTGGCTGGCTTTTGGCAAGTAGTATAAATGAAGGCAAGTCTACATCAAGTTTATGGCATTTAGAGAATTCAAAGGATTATCGAATGACAATTAGACATCTCTTGTGCTGTTCATAAAATCCAAAATTGGAATATGATAAAAGGGAAACGAAGGGATCTTTATCTGCCTACTAATTTTGCTTCCCAAGCTGTGGTTTACCCTTGATAAGAGGATGTGCCGTCTGCAATTTTGATATGTTTACTTCAGTGTTTTATATACTGGGCCATGATATTAAATTTGACCAATAAACTAAGTGGTGCCATATGGATCTCTATCTCTGAGGTTATGGGACAGCGTTATTCATTTTTTGTTTATGCATGTCATCTCATTTCTCAAATTTTTTTGAGGAAGTGTCCCTTTTTATATTGGAAGTATCATTAGCTTCATTATTTTCATTTTAAACTATTTTTTTCTTCGTTTCAAAGCGAGCTATTTGTAACTGTGAAATTATGATCTCGCTTCCTATGACAATAACCATCTAACCAATGATTTTTTACATTGGAAGTATCATATTCGCACACCCTCAACAAACACAGCACGAGAATTAATCAGCTCTCTTCAAATTGAGAATCATTTTCAGTAAATTTTTCTGAGGTTAATAAATACTCTTTTACGTTATATTTTTCATTCTTCTGATTTGGCACATGCAGGGACTCAAGAAAGTTTCAGTGCGAATGCCACTAAAGGATGAGCAAAGCATAGAAATTACAAGAGTCTGATCTCTCTCTCTCTCTCTCTCTCATGGTTGTTACTATGGCATTGATGGTTGTTATAGTTGTCCTCATTTCAGGATATTTGTTTCATCAGCTGCTATTTTGTGCTTCATTTTGAGAATAACGTATTTTATCACAAATGATGAAGAGAAAATCGGCAAGTTTTGTCAATAGAATTTTTCATTCAAGCGTATTTGGTATTGTTTATTGATGGCAAAACCTTGGGCTTGCCGACGACTGGTCCATTGTGTAAATACAGTTTAATCTGCTCATCAAATTCATGATTTGGTCCATGTTCTGTTCTAAATTTCAAATATTCTTACAACGCTTAAAATTATATTTTAAGAATGAGACATTGGGAGTTGCCTTTTGAAGTGATTGATGGTTTTGATCTATATCTACGAAATTCACAACTCCAATTATTTGGGGTTAAAAAAAGAATTTACATGTTGTAAAAAATGGAATAACTCAATTACTGCAGATTCCCAGTTAATGCTGGCAATCAATTTTAAGGTGGAAACTGCACTCATCGTGTTCTGTCTCAAACTCTTTCACGTAGATTCACCCCCCCCCCCCCCCCCCCCCCCGCCCCCCCCCCCCCCCCCCTCCCTCCCCCCCCCCCCCCCCCCCCCCCCCCACCCGCCCCCCCCCCCCTGATGTTTTCTCCTGATTACGTACCTGATTAGGCGTTTCTCTTGTGTATATGCACTGTGACCCAATTCATGCTCTGCTATGTTTGGATCAGTAGAATTGGTGAACAATTACAAATAGTAAAGGTATAATTAAATTAAAAAAATCAGATGTTTTAAGCATTAGAAATAGATTAGGGAATATAATTACATTAGGAAATCAGATCTTCTAAGCATTAGAGATAGATTAGAGAAAGTAGGTGGCTAACTCTTTTTAATACATGCAATTTAGACCAATTACAGAAGCAGGATACGACACTAACACATCTTAGATCCCTCCCACTTCACTAAAATTATGTAGAAAGAATTGAGATTTACAATTCTGTATCCTAACAAGATGTGTTTCTTCCTCTTTGTGATCTTTCCTCCATTGAATTCAAATGAAGTCTCTTGGTGTGATGACATTGTCCTCCACCGGAGTGTATACTCATCTTCAGTGTTGCGTGACTCATTGATTCAAAACAAGTTTCTTCCTTTTATCATCATGCCTACTGATCATTCTGCAACCAGCTACACCCTAAATACCTCTCCACCATCTTCTTCCTCATCCCCTTCTCCATCTTCAAAGCATCATTCCATCTCCCAGCATCCATGAACATGTTAGACATCATCACACAACTCCCTGAACTCTCAGGTTCGAGGTCAGCCAAATTCGAAGCCGCAATCTCAGCAAGATGGACATTACCGTGTTTCCTACATGCGCCAAGCAATGCTCCCCATACAAATGAATCGGGCTTAACAGGCATGACCCGTATAAACTCATAAGCCTTGTCGAGCCTCCCTGCTCGGGCTAGAAGATCCACAATGCAAGCATAATGCTCCAATCTCGGCTCAATTCTATACTCATCCTTCATTAATCTGAACAAATTCTCCCCTAACTCGATCATTCCTGCATGACTACAGGCAGTGAATACTGCAGTAAATGTTAGGTGATCTGGTGACAAACCATCATTTTCTATCTGATAGAAAAGCTTGATGGCTTTTTCGAAATGCCCGTGATTTGAATACCCAAAAATCATAGAATTCCATGAGATAATGCTTCTTTTTCTCATCCTATTGAATATCTTCTCTGCTTCGAATATATGCCCACATTTTGCATACATATCAATGAGTGAACTATTTACAAATAAATCCTCTCCGATGCCAATAATTAGAGCATAACCATGGATCTCCTTCCCTCTTCTCAGGTTCATAACATTAGCACAAGCTGGCAAAAGACTACAAACAGTAACAGAGCTTGGTTTGATTCCATCAAGCACCACCATTTGCCTCAACACCTCAAAAGCTTTATCGTACTTAAAGTTCTGAACAAACCCAGATATAATCGAAGTCCAAGAGAACACATCAGGCTCGATTCCATCAATCTTCATCAGTCGAAACAAATCCAAAGCCAATTCATCCTTACCCAACTGAGAAAACCCCGAGATCAACGTGTTCCAAGTGAACGAATCGGGTTTCATCCCGCGAAATTGCATCTTCACAACCAAAACTAACGCTTTCTCGGCAAATCCCAGATGGGTATAGCCTGAAACCATAGCATTCCAAACCACCAAGTCTCTCTCAGGCGTTTCGCCGAACACCTTGCGA